CAAAAAAGGTGAGGAACAGCATTGCAACAAGTTTGCAAACTTCATTGTCAGACCTTGTATAACTTACTGACTCTAATCTGATGGTCGAAACTACGGGAGACTTCGACCAGCCCCTTTCACTGTGGCCTGGGGGACCCACCCTTTAATGTGTGTATTAAGGGAGCTGAAGGGAGCATGGGAGACAGAAGGAAAACACATACCTGATCGGAGAGGGTACCTGCCTGTGAGGAAGGCGGCCCGGCTTGGCGTGCACACGGAAGCAGCCGCTATGTTTTGGGTGAGCCGGACACCATCGGCTGCCAGGCGGTCGATATTGGGAGTCCTACGGAGGGGAAGAACCATCCTAGTTTTTTAATCCCTTGACAACCACAGGTATTTCTGTTTGCGCAGCTACGTACCAGAGACTATGCCAGACCTCGTTTTAATCCATCAAGGTGGTCTTAGATGAAAGACCAAAAGGCAACGGTAAGAAATTCCGGGGCGGTCCGGACAGTCCAAGAATCAACAACTTGATTCAAGATCATTCTCTGTGAATGTGCAACAGGCACTGAGGTGGGTCTGCAAATGCAATTAGAACGTGACCCAAGGTGATGAGGTCCTTCTACGAGAGACAGACTAACAAGTGGACAGCGGGGTGCACCCTATTTTGGGGTGAAGTAGAGCTGGAATTGTGTGTGCGAATTTTAGCTCCTCACCAGGGATGTTGAAATGATGCCCGAGTCGGTGGGCTTGGCTTGGCGGGTGGAGGAGGGTCTGGAGGGTCAGGTAAGCTTCGGCCTTGGGCTTAGAAGCAACAGTGATTTTATTTTATGTTACTGTTTGCCTTTTTTAAAAGATTTTACTGGGGAATTGGGGAAGGGGAACAGCCAAGTTGTTGTCCTTCAATCTTTGTTGTGGAGGGTGCAGCTAGCTCAGCTCCAAGTTCAGTTGCCACCTGGCTGCCCGACGGGGGCTCACGGTCGCTCAGCTCAAGGTGCCGTGTTCAACCTTAGTTGCGGGGGGTCTCAGCCCACCATCCCATGCGGGAGTCACACCCCCAACCTTGTTAGACGCACTGTGATCTGTGCATGGGGGCGCCCCCCCACCCCAACCCCAAGCAAGTGGCGACTCCTTGCCTGATGGTGTTGTTGCCATAGCAGCCGACGTCTGCAATGCCAAGGTCATCGGCCATGAGGAGCACGATGTTCGGACGGGAGCCAGACACGTCGATACACACGCAGGGCCTCCCACCCAGGAGCACGGCGAC